TTCCAATTTAACATTAAACCCATATCCACCTAATAAATCTGCTTTACTTAAGAATGGAACAAATGGTAATTCTAAATTCATGTTACATGCTAATCCTTGTAATACTGCTGCTAAATAAATTGAAGGATTTCCAATATGAATTGAATCAATAAGATGTACTGCTGTTAATCTACAATTTATTTGTTGTAATCTATGAAGAATAGTAGGTAATGTTGGGTGTGTTGCAAATAATTCTGTTTGACCTGGACAATCAATAAGTAAATAAGATGGATGAATTTCAATAATTTTATCTATGAGCCAATCAATGTTTTCATTTAAATATTCTAAACAATATAACATCCCTCCATTTGGACCAAGTTGAGTATCTTTCATTGCATCATCTAATGAGAGTAAATTTGGAAGTGAAACAGATATTGGATAATCATTTGGTTCATTAGCAGGATCTAAATTAATAATTGTTGGCTCTCTTCCCATTAATTTTAAAAATGTATACATTCCTTTAATAAATGTAGTTTTACCACTTCCTGGTGCTCCAGTGATGACTTGTCCAAAACATACCTGCATATTTTATTTATTTTTCTTGTTTGTTTTTTTTTTTAACATTTAGTTTATTTATTAATAAACTTTATATCTAATTAAATAGTTTAATTATTTATTTCACTGAAATTACTTTAGATTCACTTGGAAAGAAACTCTAAACAAGAAAATGAGAATAGTTTACAAACAATTAATTTTTTGTTGTTTATTCAATTTTTCCATTGAGAAAATAAAAATAGGGGGTGTTATATTTATTTTGTTATTTCTTTTTTTAATGAATTGTAACCTTTTTTATATTTTGTATTATTAAAATCCTTTTTGACACAAAACTAAACAACAAAGAGAATCATAACCAATTAAAAAAAAAGAAAGTCATAAATAACTCAGGAGTTAGTATCTTTCTTTTTTTACAACATATTCGAGATTTTATTTGTATTTTGTTAGTTGTAGGTAATTCTGAAAAAAGTAGAAGAATTTAGAAAAAATAAGAATAAACAAGTCTTAGGAAAATAGAGTTTACTGATAAAACATAATTAATTTAGTTATTCATATTTTCGTGTCGTTAGTTATCTATTTTTAAATTATTATTTACTAAATAAAAATAGAAATATTATTGACATTTTTTGAAAAAGAATTTTAAACAAGAAAGTTAAACAAATGAATGATATTATACAACCAATATACAATTGAGTTAATAACAACAAGGAAATGGATAAGGAGAATTAGGTTGAATTGTATTAATCCAATCAAACACACGGACATTTCGATCATTATCTGTAATTTCATTAAAGTGTGTAGAACGTATATTCTTTGAAGTTAAAGAAAGTTTTTTAGGTTCATCACAAAAATAAGTACAAAGATTTTCACGAGGTAATTTAGGTGTAACAGTATCACGATCAATAACATATTCACATGACTCAGGAATTGATAAGGGAATACGTTGAGAATAATCAACAAGAGGAAGTTGAATACAACTTATAGGAACAACTGGTTTGAATAATGTTGTTTGCATTAGTAAATGAATAATGTTAATTTAAGATGACTTTAAATAATTCATCCTGTTTCTATTTTTATTTTATCACACTTTCTCTTCATTTAGTTCCCAACCCTTTTCCTTTTTCTTTCGTGATTTTGTAAAAAGCAAAATACTTGTTAATGTTTTATTTTCCTTTGATTTTTTTATTTTATATTTCTATTTTTTGTTATGATTTTTTTTACTTTATTAGTTGTTTTTATTTAATGATGCGTACAATTTTCTATTTATATGTAATAAATAGGCAGATTTTTTTCTGACGAAAGAGAAGTTGGCATAGTTACTCTGACATATTGTCATCTAAAAAAGAATATGTGACTATTTCAAGTATTTCCATTTTGAGAGATTTCAAATGGGGGTGTGATTTTTAAAGACTTTTTGACTATATAATAAGCATGGAATTTTATTTTTCTTTAACAAAGTTTTATTTTTACTTAAACCACTTAATCAGAACAAAATACATAAATTAAATTATCAAGAAATTGTGTTTCAATCTTGAGATTGGAAAAGTATTTTTAATGTTTCTTTTGGAGAAAGACGGTTATCAACATTTGGATTTAATAAACTTCTTTCCATTTTTATAAATAATGAAGGCAATGATAAAGGAAACTCAACTTTTCCTCGTAAGATTGCTTTAACTAATTCTTCTTTTCCTGTTGACTCAAAAGGGTATTGAGATGTAAAACATTTAAATAACAAAATTCCCAATGACCAAACATCAGCAGAAAATGTATAAAGATAATGCCTAAATAATTCAGGTGCTGCGTAATGAAAATCAATTGTTATATGTTCATCAACTATTGGTTCATTTACATTAAATGATTGTTCAAAATGAGTTAATTTCAATGAATTGAAATTATTTGGAGTAGTTAAAAGAATTGAATGTAATGTGATGTCACGATGAACTATTTCATTTGAATGGATATAATGTAGTGCTTTTAATAATTGAGTTGAAACAATACAAAATAATTCAATAGGAATATATTGATGAACCTCAATCCATTGTTGTAAATTTCCACCTTCCATCAATTCCATTTCATATCCTGCATAACTTTTTCCAATAAAGTATTGTTGAATATGAATAATATTTTGATTTTTTAATCTTCGTAACGTATTGATTTCATGAAGAATTTCTTCTTGTCCATCATATCTATATCTCTTTTCTCTTCTACAAATTTTTACACAAACTTGTTGTAATCCATTTCTATGTTTACATCTATAATATTTTATAATATTATTAGAAGATATTCTTTCTAATATGATATACTGCTGTTTTGAAATAGGCTGGTCAGCTTCAAAAGTTAATAAGTCTTTAGTTAATTGAATAAACCTAACAAAAATTGATGACATATTCATATGATTTTATCTTTGGTAGGTAGAATTAAAATTTTATTTCATATTTATTTTTTTTTAGGAGGGATGAAGTTTGTATTTTGAATTAACGAATAATATTGTTATGATTATTATATTTTATTTTATAAAGTTATTCCTCTTTTAATTCAACCAAATAAGAAAGGAAAAGTATTAACAAAGCTAATTTGAGTTATGAGAGTTTGAATTATAAAATGTTAAAGAAATTTAGTTGATATAAACTTCGAAAGTAATAATTATAGAAAATGTTATTATATTAGTATTGTGTAAATTGAATGATTTTTCTTTGTTTAATAAACAATTTTTAAACAAAAGGAAAAGATTTAATTATTATTTAATTTGAGTAATATATTGGGAGATCGAAGGTGGCACGTCTGAAACACCACACATAAACCCTAGTACAAATTCATTCTTCGACTCTCCCAGTTATTATCTGGTTATGACGGTGCCTTTGAATTAGGAATGTATTAGGGAATGCTGCAAAGTGTGCAGCAAGAGAATACAGTAGAATATTACATGGATGTAATATAAGAATCTACTGAAGTGTGGGTATGACTAAAAGAAGATTAGTCAAAGTAAGACTAAAAAGAAGATTAGTCAAAGTAATACAGTAGTAATAAAATGGTTCCTTCTCCTATTCATAAAATAAGAAAAATGAAATTACTTAAAATTAAGGCAGAAAACAAACAAAAGCTTAAAAAGAAGAAATAAGCAGAAGAAGTTTGAAAAACCTTAATAGGAAAAATAAAGCAAAGAAGTGGTTTCCTCATTTTGCAAGAAAAACATAAATGATAGGTTTAACAAAGAGATTACTCTTTTTTAATAAGCTCAGGGATGGGATTAGTCTCCCCTGAGCTAGGAAGAATAGATGAAAATTCTATTAATACTTAATTAACTAATTTTTATTTTAATTTGAGTAATATATTTATTAACTATTTTAAAACAATTTTTATTTTAATTGTTTGAATTAAAATAATTCATTGTTTGTGTAAAAAAGAAAATTTCATAGTACTTTGTCTTTTTTTTTTCTTCTCTAATTGATTTTTTTTTTGGTTAAAACAATTTTGTTATTAAAGTAAACATATTTTATTAAATTGTTATTAGTTTCTTCTTTTCTTCCTTATTATATTAATTGTTTTAGTATTAATTTTTTTTAAAAAACAAGATTGTTCACTCAATAAGAATCGATACTTTTAGTATTTACCAATATTATTATAATATTATAAATGAATTAATGAAAAAAAAAACATTTTTTACAGGATGTTGTTATATAATTTATAATACTCATAATCAATTAACTTAACTTTGAATAAAAAGATAAATTGATAGAAATTAATTGTTTAGAGAAAATGGTATACTTTATACTTATTTAATATAAAGCGTAATATTTAATTTAAATAATTAATTTATTAATTTTAATATTAAATTGTAGTAGAAAAGCAAATTGTATTTTATTTAAGAAGTATTACACAAACACACAAAAAGTGTTTTATTTAAAAATAGTAACTGAATAAATAATAAAAAGTATTAAGACATTCTTTAATTTTCTTTATTCAATTTTTTTTGATGATAAAAAACAACTCTTTTAAATAAAAAAAAAAAAAGGAATCAATTATGATTAACCTTATCTTTAGGTTTTTCATCATGTTGAGAAGTGAGCGAATCAGTTTCTTCAACACGCTTTATTTCTATTGAAATAAAGTTTTTGCAAGCATGCTCGACTTAAATGGTTCCTCATTTAAGTTGCTGCCTGACTTTTATTTTGATTTTAATGAGTAATATAATATTTCTCATTCTTTATATTGTTGTTTTAAGGAGAGTATATCCATAACTTACTGTTATAGCTCATCTCCTTTTACCTTCGACACCCATTAAAGAAACCCTATTCCTTGATAATATCCTTATGTTTAATTTTTGTGCAACAATATCAATTATATATGCGTCTTCTTTAATAAATGATAATTCTTAATACATAATACCTCCTTAGTAAATAATAATCCTTATAAATAATAATGAATAACAATACACCTTAATGAATAATAATCTTTTATAATAATCACTTCTAATAAATATTAATAATAATAAACAGTTAGTGTTGAATAGATATTATCTCACCAAAGGCATCATGACCAGACGATAACTGGGAGATTCGAAGCATGGGATTATTTTAGGGTTTCATGTGGTGTCTCTGACGTGCCATCTTCGAATCTGATAAAAAACAACTCTTTTAAATATGAAATATAAAAAAATAATATTTCTTTTATACTTTTATAAATAATTATCATTGTTTAATTATATAATAAAATAAGAATATAATCAATTTTTAATGAAAAATTAAATTAAAATTAATTGTTCTGTTTCATTAATTTCTCACCACATTCAATTCCTGCTTTCTTTGCAGTTTCTTTTTGTTGAACGTTTTGTGTCACATCCATATTATTTGCAAATAAATAAACACTAGAATATGGAATGCCATACATTTCACAAAAAACATTCAATAGGCTTTTCAGCATTCACAGCAGTTTCTTTTGTTGTTCTTCTACAATTTGGCATACAAACAACATATTTCTTTCCAAAATTCTCTTTAAATGAATCTTTGCATGTATTAGTATCAAAGTCAAATACACAAATCATTCTATCAATAAAATTCTTAACTTCTCCAGGAATTGAAAGCCAAAATACTGGATGTGCAAATAAAACAATGTCTGCATTAAGAAATTCATTTGCTATTTCTATAAATTCATCTTTTTCTGTACAAAACAATTCTTTGTGAGGAACACAAGCAAAACATTCACTACATCCACCAACTGCTTTCTTTGTTAAATTAATGGTTTTTACATCAATTTCCATCTTTGATTTAAGTCCTTCAATAAAAGCATTTGCATAAGCAGCACTATTAGAATTTGCTCTAAGAGTACCAAGAAGAACAAGAACTTTAGCAACCATTAATTTGATGAAATAAGTTCATTAGAAAACAGTTTAAATACGATTTAGTCTTTCTATTATTAGTACAGAGCTCAATAAAAAAATCAATTCGTTTAAGATGATGTACTAAATAATAGTTTTCAAACCAAAATCCAATAACAAAACATTCATTAAAAAAACTCAAGACAACGTTCGATCAATTAAGATTAGTTTCGACGTTTTTAGAAAAATTCTTTTGCCAGATGAATTTTTTAGAATCTTTATTAATAGATTAATTCCATTGGTTTATTTTTTCTTTTTTTGTTTTGTTATTTCTTCTATAATATTTATCTTTGATTTGGTTTATTAAGACAATGGACAATTACTTATTAAAAGAGAAGATAAAAAGAGAAGTAGATTGTTAATAAAATAATATAACTCTATACAGTTCTTTTCTTGCTCAATTACAATATATTAAAAAAAAGTTAAATTATCAAAAGAACAAAAGAAGTATTATATACTTAAAAAGAGATTACCTGAATGAGATTTATAATCTTCATATTTTTTGTATTTTATTTATAATAGTTATTAAACAATGTCAATATAATTATATTAATATGTTCAAACATATATAATGTAATGAAAATTATGATAATTAAAACTAATAAAAAGGTTAAGTCAATTCATAAAAATTACTTAACAAAGATAAAATGAATTAAATATTATAGTATTGTATTATAAACATTTATTCATTAAATATTTTTATAATATCACAAGTACCAATAAATAAGACATTAAAATATTAAAGAAGAAATATTAATAATTATTTGAAAATTACTTTCATTTTATTATAAAAAACAAAACAAAAAAAAAATATAGTTTTTTAACAATTGTTTAATGTTTTAAGAACCATTTGATACCATTCATCACACTCTCTTGAAAATTTAAATGTAAGAGTTATTTCACAACTTTTTCCTGTTTGGTCTTTTGTTGTAATTGTAATTTTATTGTCATTAGGAATTAGAATAGTAGATTTATCAATAATATATTTCCATTTAACACTCAATGTTTTCTTTTTCTTTTTAATACCAATTAGTTGTACAATACCATTATCTTGTCCTACAACAATAACTTTTAAAGTTTCTGGTTTTTTTCCTACTTTTACACATAATTGAATATCAGATAATACAACTCCAATAACATCAAATCCTTCTACTTCTTTTTGTAATTTCTTTATTTTAGCTAATCCTTGTTGTATTTGTCTTTTTTCATCAAAAAATGCAATTAAATAAACAATATCACTATATGCTTTAACTATATTATCATGTTCAACACAACAATCAGGTGTATTATGAACAAATGCATCAATAATAGGAATAAATCTTCTAAACCTATCCATTGGAAGAAGAATTAATTTTTCAACAATTAATCCTTCTTTATCAAACTCTTTCAATTTTTTTGATGTGTCTGATTGTTCTCTTAATGTTCTAACTTTATCCATTTCAATATTAATCCAATATCTTTCATATTCTTTCATAAATTCACTATTATTTAACATTTTACTAATAACATCACAAACATCAACATCATATTTCTGATTATTATCAACAAGTACTTTTAAATCAATTTCTAATTGTTCATGAAATTTTGCTAATCGTTCAAACGATGGAAAAATATTTGCAAATTCTTTATTAATTTTAATTAATTGAGGAATAACCACTGTAATAATTTTATTCATTGTTTTATTAAAAGATACTTGACTTTCATATAATTCATTTAAACAAACTCCTCTATTTTTTGATTGAGCATTTAATTGAGATACAAAAGTTAATTGTTCTTTATTTCCTTCTGCTGAAATTAATTCAATAGATGGCATTTTCATTCTATTTAAACTTAACCTATCACATAATAATTTACTTTCTTCATTATCTCCTTTTTCATTTTGTTCTTTCTTATTTCTTGGTGATATTATTTTATCACTTTCTTCTTTTTGATTATCTTTTGTATTAGTTGTTGTACCATCACTAACTTGTGAAGATGTAACTTGAATAGAATTATTTTCATTTTGTTTTACTTCTTCTGACCTTTTTAATACTCTAGGAATTATTACAGTTGATGGTTCTGGAGGAATACTTTCTCCATAATGTTGTGCTAAGTCTTCAACTTGGAATCCTTTCATAATTATTGCATTTCTCTTCTTTCTTTGAGCTAATGTTTTTCTTGGTACTCTCATTGTTTTGTGTTGTTCATTATTTTCATTTTGATTTTCTTGGTTATGGTTTGTAGAAGAATTTAGAGTAAAATCTTCTGGTTGAGAAGTGTTAGTTGAAGAAAGATAAGCTGTTTCATATTGGGATAATCTCTTTTTAGTAATATCCATAGCCTTTTCCATATTCTTAAGTTCTTCTTCTTGTTTTGCAGTCTCTAAAGTAATTTGAGTTGGTTCTAAAATAGGTTGGTGTTGTTTAAAATAAGCGAATTGAGTAAGAATTTTAGTCTTGATATCATTAGCAATTCCTTGTAATGAAATTAATTTTAAAAGAATTTCCACATTATAAATATTTAATTCATTCATTAAATGTTCATCTGAAGTACAATCCATTAAAGTAGATAATAATAATATTTGCATACGATCATTTAATTCATTAAAATTAGATAATAAATCAGAAAGAACTAATGTAAATCCAACTTCTCTGAATCTTGTCAGTGCAGTTTTATTTTGAGCAAGCAAAGAAGTTATTTCAAGTGCATCTTTTAAAGAGTCTATAGTATTAGGTTCTTCTGGTGGAAATTTAAGACAGTCAATAAGAGTCAAAATATTTGGAGATGCTGCAATTGCATTTACAACAATTTTACTCTTTGCCATAATTTCTAATGCTTTTAAACATTCTCCAACAGCTTCACTATTTAATTCTATCAATAACGAAGCAATAATATTTGCTTTAAGAAGAATCAAATTAAAGGTATTACAAGTATGTTCTTCTTCATTTGTTAGTAATGTATTAATAAGAGAACACCCTGAAATAATACCATCATTTCCACCAGTAATAAGATCAGCAATTCTTTCAGCACCATTTTCACGTAAAAATATTGATTTAGCATTTGGAATTCTTAAAATATGGATAAGGCATTGATATACAGACATTTGAACTGGGTCATAAGTTTGTAAATGTCTGTTTAATGCTGGAATAAGAATGATAAACTGTGAAATATTAGAACAATTAATTGAGTGTCTTCTAGGAGTTCTTGGTAAAGCATTATCTAATTTTTCTGCAACAGAAATAAATCCATTAATAACATGAAGAGCAGCAATAACAGTTTCTTCATTTGAAACTAAAGGATTTAATCTATTTGCAAGTTCATCGTCATGTCGTATTACGTGTTCAGAAATTTCATTTTCTTCACTTAATAAAATAAGAAAGTTAAGAGTTGCATTGACTATATCAATCTCACTTGATAATAAACAATCAGTATATAAAGATGGTTTAACTTTCTTTAAGAAATTTTTAAATCCAACATTTTCCAATGCATCTGACATAATTTCAAAACCTTGTTCTGCTTGTTCAGTACTTCCACGAAGATAACAATGTAATTTATTTAATAACTGAACTTCTTTAGGTTGAAGTTCTTCAAGGCAAAAGTTTTGTAATTCATTCATTGTTTAATTTACCTTTTTTTAAAGTTTTGTTTCATTCAGATAAAGTAATAACTTTCATATAGTTTTGTTATAATTTTCATTATAACAAAACAAATACAAAAACAAAAATTTATTTTTCTTGGGATAAGAAAATATTTGAAACTATCAAAAAGAACTTTATTTCCTTAGTAATAATAAAGAGAACATTAATTCAATTTATTCTAATATTAATTAAATAAATACAAAAGACTCTTTAAATCTTTAACAGAATATTGGTCAAAATTTAATTCTACATCCCATTGAGTTTGACTAACCTTTAAAGAATTAAATATTTGTTCAAGAGTATTTTGATTTGCACGTTGAAATTCTTTTAAAATTAATTGAATAAGTTCTTCACGTTCTTCTTTTCTTTTTAATTCAACACCAGCAAAATAAAATGGGTCAACTACTATTTCAACTGGATCTTTTCTCATATTATCATGAGCTTTTAATAGTTGTAAAAAACTTTTAAAATGTTCTACAGCATTTCTTTCTTTAATATACTTTTGATAAAATATTGGATCCATTCTTAGTCGATTATTTCGTTTAATTACTTCATTTAACGATAACATTAATTGGTCATCAGTCATTTTGGTTAAACCTGAATTTGATTGAAGAGGTTGTTTAGAACAGGGAGAAAAATATGTAAATAATTTTAATTTCTTATCAAATGGTATATTGGGATTTCTTAAAAAATTCCAAAACAATGGAGCCCATCGAAGATATAATTCTGACACTGTTTTACTTTCAAATATAATGTTATAATGTCCATTAAGAATAATGTCAATATCAGGAACTGTAGTAATAAATGCTTTTGCTATTGTGAGTATTCTTTGAAATTCACTTGGAAGTATAACTTGAGACATATAAAATTGTAGTTACAACTTATTTTTATTTAAATTTTTTATTTTTTATTTATAAAATTAAAAAATGGTTTCTTTCTTTATTTTTTTCCTCTAAAAATTAAATATTGATTTTTTTCATATTTTAAAACTCCTTTCAAATAGTAATAAAACCTGTATTTAACTTAATTATTTCATGTTTTTTTTTTGTTATTTTTTTCATATTTTTAGAAGAATTAATTTCATCCTTTTTTTATTCATTTATGAATAATTTATTTTTAAATATTATTACAACAGCAAATTACCTTGGTATTGAAATAGGAGATAAAATAAATATCAACAAATATTGTACAAGAATATTAAATGATATATCTTCTATTTTATCATCATTAAATACTATGAAGTACAGCAGCATCAATACAATAAGAAAGATTAATAGTGATATAATCTCCAAATTAAGATACGGATTTTGTATTATCCCATGGAAACTATGAGAGTTGGAGAAGATAGATAAACAGATAAGAAAAGCATTAATACAACTCCAATTATACAGTAGAAATATACATAAAAGTAGATTATATGTTAAAATAAATGAATTGGGATTAGGATTAATGTCAGCAAGAGATGAATGTGCTAAAGAATTATTAAGAATATATTTAAAATACAAATATCAAATACAGGAATATGAGAAATGATAGAAGCAATAAAAGAAAATCCAAATGGAATAATTAAAAGAATGAAGAAAGCATTTTGTAAGAAGATTAATTTTAATGAATTAATGAATGTAATAGAATTAAATGAAAGAAAACATGATGTAAAGGAAATATTTGAATGGGTAAATAATGAATTAAATGATAGATATTTAAATGAATGGAAAGAAAAGAAATGTGGTGAATATATAAGATGTGCAAATGGCACTTTTAATGATAAGAAATTAACAGTAGCCACTTGGAGGTCATTGAATATAAAAAGAAATGCATTCCTCCAAATAATAAAGATGCAAGAAGGAGTAACTATGACAGGAAATATTAAAGCAAAAATACTCCAAAATGATGCTTTAAAATATTGTAAAAATTGTCATAACACAATTGCATCTATTAGTCATATATTGTTAGGATGTCCTGTAATGAAAAAGAACCAAATATCAAAACATGATTATGTTTGTAAACAAATATTTAAACATATATTAATTACCCATTTTAATGAATTTGATTCAATTAATTTTAATAATCATCATAATTGTATTAATAATGATAAAATGGTCATAACTTACAATAAAGATTTATTGGTTAGTGACAATTCATTCCATACTAGAATACCAGATATATATTAACAAAATATTACAGAAAAGAAAGGATATATTATAGATGTTGTTATATGTCAAGATATGAATTTAGAATTAAATTATATTCATAAAATAAATAAATACAAAGAATTACAAGAGAAAATAAGAAATAATAGAGAAATAATATATGTTGAAATAATACCTGTTATATTATCAATAAATGGATTAATTCACAAAGAATCAGCAAGAAGATTAAAATCACTGAAATTACAATTAGATTTCCTCACAAAATCCTACGAACAATAATTATCAAAAAATATGAAAGACTTAATGTTTTACACATTCAATTCTGACATCACATTAAAAGAAGAACAATACAATGCGAGTATGCTAGAAATGAACTCTATTACACCAATAGAGCATATTGAAGAAACTGCAATAATCACTTCTCAATATGAAGAAAATCCAATTGTGAATATATGTAATAATTTTTTTTTCATTTTACAATAGCAGATTCTATTATTTTGGTTTTTTATGTAATTTCTTCATTGATATACATTGTATTTATTTTCAAATTTTTATGAGTCATAACTTCTTCATGTTATGTTTTATGTCTTTTTTTTACTCTTTTATTCTTTTTCTTTAATGTTTTTAAATATATCCAAGATAGTCTTTGTTTTAGAAAGCAATTATCTATTCTTCTATACGTTTTGTGTTACTGGTTGCTTATAATGATTCATTACAACAATTCAATAATCAATTTAATATAGTTTCATTGTCCTTAGTTCAATATAAAATTTAAATTTACTATTCTTCTAAATTAGTCAAAACATTTTTTAATATTCAATATTCTTTATCATAAGCAAAAGCACTTTCAAAGAAAATAGTTTCTATTTCATAATAGCATCGTTACTTTATAATTATTCATACTTCTTTAATAGAGAATATAAATGATTCTGACTATATTCACAAAGGCTATAAAAAAAAGAAATGAAAAGAATAATTTGCAAATTTTCAATAATTAATTATTAAGAAGGGGGGAAAAAACAATAATAATATTATAAATAACTTAAAAAGTTATGAAAAATGAAAGATTTATTTTTTATCTTTAGAATTAATATAAGAAGCACCAAATTCATCATATTCAGCTTTCTTCATATAACGTTCTTCAAATGATGATAAACTAGCAAACATTTTTCCTCCAATCCAAGCACCATATTTTCTTTTTCTATTACAATCAACATTAATTTGAATAGTAGGAGGGGATAAAACTGTAATTTCTTTAATAAATCGTTGTTTCATTCCAGGGAACATTGAGCTTCCACCACAAAGAACAATGTTATTATACATGTCTTTTCTTAAATCACAATCACATTGCATAATAGAGTTATATGTTATTTCATGAATTC